CCCTGTTTTGGCCTTGAATGGCTCGGTTTTAGCTTTCCTTGGAGCTCGGATTTACTTGCTTTGGCTCTTACCTGAGAAGTGGTTTGGAGGAGGGGCTTGATTTCGTTTGTTCTGGCCATTTACCCGAGAGCTTGTTGAGAGCCTGTTTTGTGCCTTTTTTTTCTGCTCCTACCCGAGAGCTTATAGTGGAACTGGCCCGTGCCTTGCCCTACCCGTGAGCTTGCTGGTGGGCTATTTGGAGTCGTTTCTGCTTTTTTTTCTTTTTCCAGCTCGAATTTTGTTGATGGATCAAGTTTGTCATCCCAAAAATTATAATCATTTTATTTATCCTCTTATGTATACCGAGGGAGCACGGTAAAATAGCTAATGGTATTCCCTTTGGTTGCCTGGGCTTTGAGCCTTAGTTGTTGGTTCCTTTTGTCGCTTTGGCCGAGAGCCTTAGTGGCTGTTAGTGGTGGTCTTTCCTGTTGGTTGCCTCGGCCGTGAGCTTTGACAGCTTCCCCCTTTCCTTTTTGGTGGCCTTGGTCGTGGGCCTTAGCAGCTGTTCCTTGCTTCCATGAACCGTGAGCCTTAGCAGTTGCCTCCCTTGTGGGTTGCCTTGGCCGAAAGCTGGCCGAAAGCCTTAGCTGCTGTTCATCTCTTTGTATTGAGCTTGGCTGTGAGCATTTATGTGGTTTTAGCCAGATGTTTTTATGCTTATTTAACATATGAAGCTTTTGATTACATTTGGAATTGGATGACTTTGATGTTGGCATGATTTTGGAAGTATAAATGGTTGTCGTCCCTGGGATACTTTTCCTTTTGTTCGAGTTGTGGAATTTGAAAATTCATTTTCAGGGGAGCATATGGTTGATTTAAATTGAATTCATAAAGGATGTTTCGGGAGTTTGACATTAAAGTTTTGATATAGTTCGAGTGCAGGCTCGGGTGTGTGTGGACATGTAGTTAGTGGTAGAGCCATGTGTGCGACCGTCACATTGACTTGGGTTGATCCACTTATAAAATATGAGAAAATGATATCCTTTCGGATTTATTCAAGGATCTCAGGACATTCTTTTTCAGGTCTTTTCGTCATGAGCTTTGAGGGCTGATTCATCATCCTTTTCGATATTTTAGGTGCATCAGTGTTTCTTTTATCTCACCTCATTTTTGTTCTTTTTTTCCTTGCTTCTTGTTTCGACTTTTTGATGCTTATGTCCGATACATAAGCGTCCACGTATAGTCTTTTGCTATACGTGAAACCATCAAGCAAGGTCGCAAGTAGGTCGGTTTTGTTTTGGGGCTTAGGGTGGTGATGACAAAGGCACACTGAAGATAGAACAGAATGATATGTCATCTTACGACATCGGGATCCGATTCAGGAACTCATCAGGATCCGATTCAAAAACCCGGTGAGCTGCAGGATGACGGTATCATTCGCCGACACAAGACTAGCGGGAGTTGACCCGAACCTTTTTAGGTTATTGGTAGCCTTTTGCCCGACAACGCGATCGACTCGTGGGCAATTGCTTTTCAAAATTGATAAAAATAAATTTGATAAGAACAGATGCACCTTTTTCTAAAATAAAAATACATTGTTCGCTACAAATAAAATTGATATAACCCACTTTTTGCATGTTTGAAACCTATGTGGATGCTAAAAATATAAATTTTAAATGCATTTTAAACATTGGTTGTCCACCTGTTGATCACCTGTTCAGGCTAAGGAGTACCCTTCTGAGTTAGGTTCGATAGGACACCCTTCTAGTTGAGTGGAGGGAGGGCTTTATACATCTGATCGAGTAGCCTTCGATGACCCTCAAGTACTAATATATAGTTGAGCCTAGCCCCGACTCGAGTGCTTGCGGTCCCCCTCTTTTCAGACTTTTTCATATATTTTTCTTGGAATTTTTAGACAAAGCACTCGTGGTCTCTTTTCGGGATTTTCCCGTGTTTTCTACGATTTTAATCGATTTGTCGATTCATCGATTTCCTCGCATTTCTCT